ACACATGGAGTAGCCAGCCTAGTTTACTATACATTAATCTCAGGCATGATAGAATAGGGAATCCTACCTTCAATCAATAATTCGATAGACGTGAGCACCATCATCGCCAATGCAACTGCGCGACGTCTAATCTCTGATCAACGACTCCGCTAATTTACTGGAAAATATACCTTACATCCTGTCACTCCCTGGATTTTGATTGATACAAACCCCAAGTTGACTCTGCGTATTAATCAATCTCAAGGCGAGCTATAATATTAATATACTTAAGTACCAGTATATGGATTTCAGTCCATGATGTTAGTCAAACGCACCCAAGCTGAGGTACCACACCACGATAGGTATGCCAGGTACGGTAAACCAAGCATCTGAATAAGCAGTTTCAATACAATGTACAATTTAAGAACCTAAAAGCGTAAACATTACCAATACCCTCACCCATGCATTTCGAAAGATATTGTTGGTCTTGCCTTTAATCCTACTGTTGATTTCTATCTTTCTCTGTGAGTATCAATAAGGCACAAGTTGATGAATAGCAGACCTATCGCTACATTGATGACAAGTACCAGTGTTGCGATTCCGAACCTAACGTCTCGTTATCAATTTAATTCCTAATACTATGACCCCCGCATCCCGTCCGATCTGCGCAGTTAACCTACATTGGAGCTATTCCGTCCATGAGAATTGCTTGAATCAAGCAAATTGTTTTCGGAAGATATATGACAGTGTTTGGATTCATTGTTCCAGAGATAAGTCTACGATGAACCTTGGTAAGTATCTAAAACCACATGAGACAATGTAACTCACAATAGCATGGGAGGAAAGGTTGATAGATAGGTTGTTAGAATGAGGTTAACGAAAAAAAAGTTTTGTCGTTGCGGTAAAGATTTCGCAAACCATAGCGTAGTGAGAAGAATGGACAGGAGGATATTTCCTAGGCAGACAAAGAGAAAATAGAGAATCAATGCGACTTCGGACATGACTCTGGTATCAGTTCTGAAACGGTGTAGCGCTTACCGGCCCAGGGATCTCCTCCGTTATAACTAGGTTTCTCTAGTTGGAAGGTGTAGGAGACTCAAATGATACTGTATAGATAGATAGAAGCTGAGATGAGCTTGTAACGTAGCAAACTATGCTGTTTTAAACCGAAATGCGGCTTCGCCACACATCTACTAATAGTCTCCTGAGTCCTGAACAGTGAATCTTTATACATTTGATATCTGAGAGAGCCCTTGATGGTTTAGGGTCTTCTCATCTTCTCCTCAAGAACCTGGAAGGCGATTGAAGGGCAGGCGCGTTCAGGGGAGACGACATCGTCAGGAAGCGCAGATAACCAAGATTGATATTAACGGTGAAAACCTTGAAGAAGCAGCAGCATGACAGATTGAGGTTGAACGTTGCCACGTTGATCATGAGAAGCTCGTTCTGAGAAACCCTTTGTGGTAGCAAGGACTTTTCCCGCCGATCTCAGTACCAGCGCACCGCATACGTCTCATCTCCGACAACCAATCAGCAAAGGCGACAAGAGTCGTCACTTGCGCTCTATGACCTTGCCGCCGCTCGCGCCACTATACTTAGTCGCTCTACAACCAGAGAGCAGTAGACGGATATTGCAGGGCGTGCATGCGAACTCAGCTCACCCGGCTAGATGGTACGTGCCAGGAGAGAATTCTTCACTGCCCCGGCATCGAGATACCCACATCCCACAGAATCCATCCTCGGGAGGTACAGTATTGGATCGTATGAGATACGGCGGTAAGTAGAAACCTCTACTTATACGGCATTTCGTCTCACGGAATATTGACCCCATCTCCTCAAAACTTGTGACTTTTGAATACTTTATTCTATAGCCTTCAAGCTTAAAAGTCCCTCGGCTCGACTGGAGCAATCAATTCAACGAAAGCCGCAAGAGCCAGCCGGTTTATTAGGAAAGTTGGCAACTGCTATATAGTCTATATAGCGTCCGTAGACACTGTAGCCTCTGTAATTTATGTACACTATGGTAGCCTCCATAGCTTCCATAGAGGTCATATCATTTTGTGCTAGCATAGTGGCCGCTGGTACTTCAGATGTCTATGCAGTGAACTATAGAGTCTATAGTCTCAGTAGGCATGTGTAGTACCATTTTTATTGGTTATCCTTATTCATTAAATATGGTAATTATCATGCAGAATGATGCAGTACTTTAGCCAAAAAATCAAGATATATATTTCGTATTTAAATACATGGATTAGTTCTAGTTATTAGTAATTGCGGTGGTTAGCATACGGAGCATGGGAGGATTAGAAAGGAAGGAGAATAGAGCGAAAGTTTTGAAGCCAAGTATCTATTAGTATAGCATGTATCTATTCACAGAAGGGAGGTTGTTTAGAGCAGCTCCACAAACATTCAGAAGAGATAAACATACCCCAAAATCCATTGCCATGTTGTCATGCTGTATTTCTCCATCATCCTCAATCCCTTATTGTGATGGTGTCTTAAGCCAGCTGAATCGCCATATGATTAGCTCGCAAATGATTGTCGGCAGTCATGAGGTACATACCTAAGGCTGAGAAGTTTTCATGAGTATCTATCTCCACTGCTGCCTCTTCCAAACCATGGTAAACCGCCGAAGCCTAGACATAATGACGCCACAATTGCTGCAGATGGATTAGTCTGAAGGTGATCAACTAAGAGATAAGCACTGGTGTAGACTATAACAGTGGTATATCTTAATGTTTCACACCTAAACTAACTGAACTCAGATATATAGAGTAGGTAGTTTATACAGGTGTAAGGTAAAAGATATATGCCAGCACCTAATGTGCCAGCATGCTAAATACAGGCCGGTGTGGGCACTTATGGTGTCCACACTAATAATAGCTACATCTCTGATGTAGTGCATATAACTAATATATACATTAGTTATTTATTATATACATTATAATACAAATATATGCATGTATATATATTGATATAACAGACTTTATCTGTTACATAGACCCACCGACAATGACAAGACTTGACTCCTTGACTAACTAGATCTTGTGGTAACTTCAATGTATTATATAGACATGATAGGAGAATAAGTACATGTACCTTGGTTCGTGGTCAGGATATCTGAAACGCGTGGATGCATGCAGCTGAAGGAGTGGGGAGAGGATTCGTGTTGGAACAAAGCTAAGTTGTGACAAGGGACCTGGCGCTCATAATTGTTCAAACCAGCGGAGTTCATTTACAAGTCAGTAGCGAGAGCTAGCAAAGTAGCAAGGCAATATTTACGTAGACATTTGCTAGCTTATGTAGTGCTACGGAAAAATTAGACGCCGTTGCCTGTTTTCCTGATGTTTTAGCCAGCCTTGGGCAACACTAGTATGTACCTTTGACTAGAAATTGAGATAACCTAGCCTTGTATATTCAATTATTTAGAGCTATTGGCGAAAATTTAGAGGCCCAAGGCCCAAGGGCTCTGCCTCTTAGCTTGGCTTACGAGGCAGCCCGCAGTAGTAAATGAAAGGGAGTGTTTAGATAAGCTGGCTTATGTCATCTCTCCTGCTTAGAACCGAAGGAACAACACATCTTTAACATACCTATACTGCTCAATGTGAGTCCTATTAATCATTTAAGCTGTATGTTCTTTCTGCTTTGTTTACTTATATGGCCTTTTGAATCTGTCTACTTACACAACGCCACTGCACTCTGGAGTGACGTAGTGACGTGGAGTCCGGTGACAGCGGGTCGTTCAATGCGCTTGCAATATCTTGAAGTTCTCCTACATCGATATCATTTGAGAGTATCCTGCTCGGTTTGATAGCACTGAATGCGCCTTTGGATAATCGCAGCGTTGATTGAGTACAGGATGGGCATGAAAGTGGGCTAGTGAGTGAGCGTTTTGTGCATGTAGACAAGTGTTCAAAGCTAATCAGTATATCTACTTATCTTAGACAGCTGATAAATATCATGATTTAGTCAGATTAATCGGCATTAAACCTTCCTGTACGTCCGTCCTGCCGTACCCTTACGTAGGTCGTTACATAATGTCTAGAATGTCGGAACAAGACAGGCGCATTCCTAGTACCTACGCAACTATCATCACTATCTGTGTCCCAGATTATGACTTATCTCTGCGTCTTTGCAGCTTCCAGCCCGATCCACCTAGCTATGGGTTTCTGGTCACAGGATTGGCTGCGCCGAAAAGTACCCTAACCGACGTGCTGCCGCCGCCACTAGGTGGACTGGGCTCGAGGCTAGCGTCTCTGCAGTTTGGATGGACAGAGAAAACCGCGGATATCGTCGCTGTTCTCGCCTCAGTACGGTACAGCATACCGCCTAATCGGCCACATACCTATCCTTCGCCTAACATCATCTTCGACGCGGTTAGTACGCAGAGATATCCATAATTCGTTATATGGATATATTCGAAACCATGGAAGCGAAGAACGGCATTCCGTATAATTCCACCGAATAGGGCACCTGCATCGAGGTTTGGGAGATCTGTGCGCCGTGGACCCATTATGAAGCTGCAGAATCGAGCGCCGCCGTCTTTATTATCGCCTTCGTGACATCCTCGCCTTCAATTCCGTTCTTCCTTTATGATGTAGAATCTTGACTTTCATCATCTACTGCCTCGATGTATGGCTTCGGCTCCACGTAGTAGGTTGGAACTGCATCCGCTCCGCGACTTCCAGGACTTATGACGAAGGCAGTAATACCGACTTTGTATGTAACGACTCATTGTCCTTCTCACCTGCTCATGGTCAATTATAACTGCCACACACGAACTAGGCGCTTTGAAATCTTGGAGACTCGAGCTTTCGATCATGGTCGGACCATATTCTCGCAATGTTGATGCTCCAATGCTCCGTCTGCGAAACACGCAAACTAAGCCTATTCAATGAAACATTTACACCTTCTCATGATAAAACCGTTTATCTTTGTCACAGACGTTGAATAAAGAATGAATGTTGGTAATAGATGCGGAACTAGAACTATATATTATATAATTCCACATAAAAAATAAGGCTTCCTTGGCTCAGCTGGTAGAGCGTTGGTCTCATATTTAGTGTGAGGATGTTGTTGCATCTGTAATCCAAAGGTCGTGAGTTCGAGCCTCACAGGGAGCAGTCTTTTTGAATACGTTAGGCGCGTTTTGTTGTTGTTTTGAATGTAAGTTTTTCTCTTCTGTGTCATGGCAACAGATCCAGTACTTTTGAGCTAGTGTTTCTTCACTTCGTTCCTACAAATGGAAACGTAGAATTACATAATAAAAAGATTCAAAAATTAAATACCTCTGAGTAGTGTACAAATGACGTAAAGATTCAGTGATCCATGGACTCAATGACATTAGGATAGGTACTAGAAAGCGACAGGGTACTGTTACAGTAATATATCAGAGCTATACATATAAGCTACATAATTCGGAGCTGATGCAGTCGAACGGTGGTCATAATCAAGACACAGAATCATCACTGAAGGGGTCTATAATGAACTTATTTATTTGTTGGATGTAATGGTTCCATAAATATAAATTGAGAGAGAGAGAGAGAGAGAGTATACGATATCTGAATAGGTACGGAGATGCTAATAAGAACCAACTTGTCTAGGATTAATTTTGAAGAGTCACTCACCTCACAATCAATATCTGGGAAGCCAATCAAGAGTAGGAAGCCCATGCGGTTGGGGCAAGTCTGTTTCCTTTTGTCTCCGACCTCCTCTTCTAATAAAACGCCAGCCTGCACAACTCCACTCCTTCCATGTCAAAAGGATGACCTAAGATTTAACACATTAATTATTGAAAGCCAATCTGATCAGAATACCAAGAGACCTTTTGTGTCCCAAAGGCAATGAAAACAGCAAGAGCACCTATAAAAATATGTGAGAACGCACCCACAGAACGATAGGACCCAGTATAATTACTCATTGAGGTTAGTAGCTCGTATGTAAGTTTCATTGGACCGGCATTCATATGGCTGTCTGCCAAACTTATTCTGAGTTTATAAGTGTATGGACTATTGAGATTCTCCACAGATAGTATAGAACAGAATATGGACGCACAGAGTTGCGATCACTTGGAATCCACTCAGAAACAGAAGGCGAATGGCAAACTGGATAGTTGTTCTCCACACGGTACCCTCGGTTTTTGTCTTGATGGGATATGCGTAGATAATCCATACAATCCATACTGAACAGTAGTTTGAATTATTCACATTCATGAGATAATTATTAATCGCACCTTCAAAGAAGACATGAATGACAGAAATTATACCTAAAAAGTACGTCACGACTGCTCTTCTGTATTAGATATCAGCCATATGAACATCACTTCTGTTGTGGCCGGTACATACACTGTGGTGGAAAAGCGCCCTAAATTTGTACAGTAGAGGAAGGAAGCTACTTTTTCCCCGTGTAGGTTGCCAGGATAATGCACAGCTGCCTGCGAGAGATTTGGTGAACTGGCAAACGGAGTTAGTCTTGAGAATAACATACCACGGCAGAAACGATGTTGATTAGAACAAGAAAGACATAAGGTAGTGGTAATACCTATTGTATATAGAAGTTAACGACGAAGGAGATTCAGGGATACTGTATACCCACTAATCGTTTGATTATCGGAATCTGGGTGAAGTGGCGGTTGCCCAAAGCAAGGTGACGTAGTTCGGACCAATTCTTTAGTAAGAGCCACTTGTTAAAATTCCTTTATTCTGAATAAATGATTGCGTACATCCAAAACCAAGGCCAGCTTTCCAACGAACATCCTGGGTGGGTTTAAGGATATGAAATATTAAGTACCTTCGAACTCACATCGGAAGAAGTCCGTCAACAAGGACGCCTTGTGTAAGGCATAATGCAGGAGGCATAGGCTTATATTGGTAGCCACTATAAAACCTGTGTTCTAATGTCAGGAGGTTCTCAAATAAGATGCAGAATCGTGCTTACAACAAAGCCGGTGGTATTGCTGCTAGCAATGATACCACGACCATGTTGACGAGATATGGGTTGTTCCTTTGTGGGAGCGACCGTCCAACAATATATGTGATCAAGAGTATGAAAAGGCAAACTTGCCCTAGGATATTAAATATCAACGAAGGAACAATAATTTTTTGATCTGGAGATCTAGTATTCTCGTTCATGTTTCCGTCTTGTTAAGTATTATAATGACTGTAGTTTGAATTAGGTGGAAAGGCCAGCTCCGCACAGCAGAGATACTCTTCAAGTCAAATAGGGAAGCAAGAGAGAAGAGGGCTTCACATGTCCAGGAAATCCAGGTTCTATATAAAGGGTACCATGAAGCCTGATCTGCATGATTGATGGAGGCGGTGATTGGATACAATGGCACCAGACCGATAAGCACACCACCTCGACTCAAGCACTGCTTTGAATGGAAATGTCACAAGTAGACGCGTGAGACCTGTTTGGAGTTCGGGATATGACCCATGGAACAATGATTTCCGTTTCTAGATGCTTCCAAGCACTTATCCTGACACAGAAAGCGCGCATCAGAGTTAATTATGGATCAGCGATGTGTATCACCATGACGATCTCCACAGCATGTCGTAGAAGGACTATTTCCACTATTAGAGAAGCGTACTTTACAGAGTGAGACGTGTACCGACCTTCTCTGATAGTTCCAACTGTTGTGAGCGAAGGTGATCTGACTTGAGAAGGTAAGCATGGGAACAGTCACGCCTTCCATATCACCCAATCCGTCGATCAAGAGAACGTGTCGATTAAGTATCTCACTTCAGGCTACTTCAGGCCTCTTCAGGCTACTTTTGGAGTAATTTCTGATACTTTAGACTGCGAAACTCAAATTTGATTCGGTGTAGTGCCCTTGCCGAAAAGATGCCATCATTCATCCGTATATGCCGCTGTCTGCCACTGGATTACATTTTTTCATTGCAGGAACGAATGGTAATTAAGCATCAACATCGCCTTTAACGTAACTTGAATTAAACGAGATACGACCTTCTGACACTTTCTGTCAGATACGTCAATTAGGATGGAAGGGCCGAAATCACCGGTTCTAGTTGATGCACACTCTTCGCTACAATAATGCGAGATTTTATGAGAACTTTCTTCGGGGTTAAATACTAGTAACATTTGGCAATTATTCTATTTATTAGTATTTTATCTACAGCAGGGAATCATCTCGGTTTACGACTCCAAACGGCCAGGAGGCTCTATCACATATCCAAGTTGTCATTTCACGTTGTATACCTGCAGAAATCGGTTGACACTTACGGGACTTGTACCAAAGACTAGGAAAGTCGCAAGAGCATCTGGAATTAAAGAACGCATTAGACAGATCTATGAAGGAAGATAATATCCTACTCATTGATTCCAGAACACGAAAAGCATTTGATACCGGACCCGCAGTATTTGACCCAATTCCCAGTATAGAAAGAACGATAGCTAGCCTAAGTGAAAAAGGAATTAAAAAGTAGAACAATACCCTTATAAATGACTAACATAATACTCGAGCCTTGGATGATCGAAAATATGAAGAGACGAAGTACCAAGTTATAATTAAAGACCTGAGAAGGGATTTCCTTTATTCGTGATTCTCGTCCTCCAAGGGAGTTGACGA